TGCTCCTTAATCATTAGAATTTTACCTTTAATTTATTGATCAATATGTAATTGCAATCTAAATTCTAAGCAATGGTTGAGCAGTTATACGAAAAGAATCTTAGCACTGGACCTACTATATATTAGTACTTATTATTTATTAATGATCAGTTATATAATTCTCAAAGACTCTGAGAATCTAACATTAATTCTTTTTATTAATTTACGAGCTAAATAAAGCTACATATATATGGGTAAAAACATTAAGAAAAGATAATTGGCCTTATAAATGAGTAACGGTTTTTATTATTTTTAATAAAGCATGCAATATTGATGGATTAGAAAATTAAAGATAGATTCATGTATCTAAAAAAGAAGGGTTTTATCTAATGAATATTTATAATTAATCATGAAAAATGACTCCTGATTTCCACATTCATTAGTTGATATATACAAAAATAATATTCCATTAATATGTCACAAATGTGACGTTAAATGTAATCCTTATTGCCTTATAAAGCATTTAATCGATTAATCATGCCAACTTTAAATGTTTATTTCTATATTATATTTTTCTAAATAATAATAATATTCGACCATGTAAAAAGGTAAGTATTAAAAATAAAACTTAAAGTATATATAATTTTATCTAAAAAATGAAATGCTTGTATATATATATATATAATAATGTATCATAGATCTATAACACGACATTATTTACTAACTCAAATTTCAAATTTCTGGCAACTGCTGATGACATATAGAATTATTTGTCTAAGATTTTTATTATCATTTTAAATAGTAGAGTTCGAGAATAAAATTAAAGAGCAAAAAGAATGATGAAGTATAAGAAACAGTATAGCATCATATTAAATTATCCGTCCTCTCAAGAAGATTTTATTTCAGTATTGAATTATTGTTTATAAAGATTTAGTTACTGTTTCAATAATGAGCCAAACAGTAACATTTTCTGGAATTTCAGAATATTTTCTATTGTACATTTATTTGGTAGGTGAGGGGCTTTTATATGAAATTTTGACCTACGACAATTAATATTTGCTTCTTTCACGGATTCGAGCAGTTTCTTATATATGTGCGCACTTTATTTATTATTATTACGAAAAAGAGATGAAAACTATATGATAATGGCAGGAAATTTTTAGCCTTAAATTTGAATAAATCAGAAAGAACATGTTGTTTCAATTTGATACTATAAAAAATTCTTGACTACTTGCATAGGAACAATTTCATCTACCAAAGTATTTTTCCTTTTCAATATTTTTTTATGGGAGCTTTAGATTTGAATATATGAGTTCGATATAACTCAATAATTTTAGCCAAACAATAGATATGCATTAACAAACTTACTAAATATGTACAAAAAATTAAATTTAAATTCATTTATCAACACTTAATTAAGTCGCTATATATAAAATCTATAAATAATCAAATCTTGGACGTGTCTTTTATTTTGTGCCTTATTACAATTAGGGAAAAGGGTCTGAAAAATACTTCAGTTTTGGCCGAAATTACTGTTACGATACCAAACTTTATGGAGGACCTTTTACCCCTGTACTATAAAATAATATATTTTAAAGGTAGATATGTGCCCATGTGGACACGTTATTTATGATGTCCTCGTGGACACATATATACCTTTAAGATACACTATTAAATAGTGCAGGAGGTAAAAAGTCCTTTCCAAAGTTTGGTATTGTTACAACAATTTCGGTCAAAATTCAGATATATTTCAGAACCTTTTCCCTTACAATTATCAATCAATTATGCACTCAAATCATTATGCAAATAAGAAAGATGGTCAGGATGCAATTAAATGTCCAAATTGAAATGTGGCCAAGAGATTTGATTTTGTATTTTTTATTAATTTTTAATAAGAGATATTATTTTTACATCTAAAACTAAACGAGTCTAAAAAGAATAGATTTTTTTCTTCAATTCCATTTATAGTGATTACAAGAGATAATTTCCACGTAATAAACTGGATTGCGTAAAAAAAATTCTTATAACTAATAAATTGGTGTGTAGTGGAAAATGATTATTGATATTACCATGCATGTACATGTCATGCCGACAGAAAATTTGGTTTTAGTGTTCCCATAGAATAATTACAACTATATATATATATGCAAAGAAATGATAACTTAAGCTAAGAGCCAATATTAAAGTCAATCTATTTAAATTATTATTACACATAATTGATTGCATAAATATATTTTACATTATATATATATATATATATACATATATATATA